TTGTAAGTTATCTCAGGTATTTTGTTATAGTAATAGAAAGCTAACATAGTAACATTATTTAAATTGTAAACATTGTATTGGGAGAAGAAGTTAGGAGACCTAGAATAAATCTTCCTATCATGAAAATAATGCCCCAAGTTGTTAGTACTTCTTTTTGCTTATTGGTATCTACCAGGAATGTAGACCCAGATATCATTATGGGAGTTCCAGAGTCCAGGAGAAGTTCTACAACAGCCCAACTGAGCTTGGTAACGCAGCTTTTAGAAATTTTTTTTCTTCCTTCTTCCTTCTCCTTTCTCCATTCTTTCCCTGTAATCTGCTTTCTTCCTGTTCCCAGAACAGGCCAGGCTGCTCTTTCCTGTGGTCCTTTGATGGTCCCTCCTGCCTGGACTGCTGTTTCCAGATACCAGGCAGCCTTCCTCATTCCCTAAGGGCACATGCACAGAAGTCACCTTTGGGAGGAGAACTTCCTGTCTCAAATTGTGTTGCCCTTTCTCTCTCTCTCTCTCTCTCTCTCCCCCTCTCTCTCATTCTGTCTCTCTCTCTCTCTCTGTCTCTCTCTCTATATATATATAGATAGATAGATAATATTATATATTATATATCTATATATTATATATATATATTTATATTTGTATATATATTTATTTATATTTGAATCTGTCTATCTTTCTTTCAGTTATACTGTCTGTCTTTCTTCTCTTCCACCCACCAGACTCTAGCTGACATTTTCTAGCTCTTGTGTTGCTCAGAGCTAGAAGAGTTGCCAGGCACTCACTGAAGGTATAAATGGATGTTAAGAAAGTGTAGAGCTAATGCTCATGACTTGTTCTCCCTTTGGCCTCCAACTTGGAACAGTCGCACTTCCAGAATAACTACAGACCCTCTCCAGATATGGAGAAACAGAGCTGCTTCAAAAGCAGTAGCAGGCCCCAGCATATCCACCCTTGGCAGATTCTAGATCAGATGTAAACTGGATTTTGACTCTGTTCCCTGTGTGCCAGGCTTCCCTTGAATGAAAAGTATTTTGAAACTGTAATTCCAGGATAAATAGATCCATATTCATTTTTGCATACTTCATTATTCCAAGGCAGAAAAATAAAGTGCTTCACCAACAGTTTGATCCTCCAAGTATTTACCAGCTTCCTACTTTGTTCCAAGCTCCCTGTGCTAGACCTTGCAGGAAATGCAAAGGAAAAGAGCTAAGTCCCAGTTCTTAAGTGCCTTAGGATAGAGAAGTAGGCATAAGATAAGCAAAGGTAAGCAGCATTGAAGCCGACTATGGTAACTGTTGGTTCTGTGATAGGACTCCTGCTTCTGCTTCAATCTCTGGCTCTGGTTCTTTAAGAGCCAACATTTTTATGTGAGAGCCTAGAGGTTTCTGCTGTCTTCCCTCCCAACCCCAGCTCCATCCACCACAGGGGGAGAAAGGGGCAAGTAAGAGGTCAAACAGTATAAAGGGTCACTGGAGCTCTTATATTGCCCAAGCCTCGAGGAAGACCAGCTTCCATCTTGCTCAGAACTGCTGCTGACCTGTAGGATTGAGGCCTTTGGGGAGGGGGATCAAACAATCTGGTCCACCAAATAGCTACCAACTGCCCATTCCAGCTTGAATAGGAGAGAGAGAGAGAGAGAGAGAGAGAGAGAGAGAGAGAGAGAGAGAGAGAGAGAGAGACTGCCTTTATAGAACTGGCACAATCAGGCAGAAGGACCCCGGGAAGGAGCATCCCCACTCTAGGTAAAGGTGCTCTTGCCTGTGGTTTGTTGGTGCTCAGACATGATATGCACATTATAATTTCTTTCATAAACAGAGTGTTGGTCAGCTTTCCTTCACTATGACAAAATCCTGAGATAATCAAAATATAAAGATAAAAGGTTTATTGTGTCAAGTGTCCCAACATCTCCTTCAAGGACGTGCCCCCAATGACCTAAGACCTCCCACTAGACCCCACTTCTTAAAGACATACTGGGGACCAACCCTTTAATGCAGGGGCCTTTTGGGAACATGTCAGATCCAGACTATAGCAGGCAGTTGAGAGAAAACAAAATTAAAAACCAAATTGCTCACATAGAAACGAACCCAACCATTTTGGGAGCTGATTTTTTTTAAAAGTCTGAATTTTTTTTCTTAACTATGTGCTTATAAATGAAGAAGAAGGAATGAGCATTGTTAGGTGTCGTCAGCCTGGGGACTAGGAGGCTGACCTTGGCAGCAGGTTCTCTGTAGTGAGGAAGACCCCATCAGAAGACCCGAGTGAGTTCCCAAAGCAGCTGGCAAGTTGGGGTTGAGCAATCTGGAAAGACTCTGGGGAAGTGGTGTCTAGTGCAGCCATCGGACACAGGCTGCGGGGAGCTGCTGCCCCCCATCTGTGCCCCTCCCTCCAGCCACACTCCGTGTATCCAGAACCTAGAGTTCCCGTCTGGTCACTCAGGGCTGTGTGGCCTCCTCACTTGTCCATGGCCTGAAGGGTGGAGTGTGCTGCTTGTGAGGCCCTGCTGGACCTGAGGGGTGGCCAGAAAGCTGCATTGTGGACAGAGCCTGAGCGAGAGTTCAGGGGTATTTAAACATGTGCACAGGCCCTTGGCAGGCCCAGAAGTGGGAAGAGAGGAGGTGGGTCCCAGGTCGAGGGCCAGGGGCTGAAGGACACAGGTCAGCTTTCTGTCTGTGTCGCTACATTCAGGTCTGGAACTTCACAAAGTCTGAGATTTTAAAATTTGGATTTGTCCATCAGGGTCATATGGAGAGCTATCCCTAAATGTCAGAGTATAGGACGCGTTTAACAGTTTGCTGGATTTATTCTTCTTACATATATGGATCTCTGGGCATGTGGCCCTCCATTCAGCCTTTCCACTTAGCCATGTAATTGTCAGAGCTGGTTCCAAGAGTGTCTTTGGAGATGGGTTTTGATCCTGGGAAGGATTTATTTATTTCATTTCACTTTTTTTTTTTTTTTTTTTTTTTTTTTTGGTATGAGGGATAAACCCAGGGGTACTTAACCACTGAGCCATATCCCCAGCCCTTTAAAAAGATGTCTATTTATTTAGCTGTAGATGAACACACAGTGTCTTTATTTATTTTTATGTGGTGCTGAGGATTGAACCCAATACCTCACACCTGCGAGGCAAGCGCTTTAAAGCTACAGCCTCAGCCCCGCCCAGCCCTTTTTATTTTTTATTTTGAGACAGGGTCTTGCTGAGTTGCTTAGGGCCTCACTAAATTGCTGAGGGTGGCTTTGAACTCTTGTACCTCCTGCCTCGGCCTCCCTAGTCACTGGGATTACAGGTGTGTGCCAGCGTGCCCGGCTCTGGGAAGGACTTAGATGGGGCAGAATGGCAGGAGGTAGCAAGAGGAGAGGTTGAGGTGGGTGTCTCCTGACAACAGCAAGCAGAGCCACGTGCCTTCTGTCTGCCGGCTCTTTGGCATGGCGCGGCACGGAGGGCCTTGGCCTTCTCAGCCTGGGCTCTGCGTACCTCCCAGGTGTCATCGTCCCAGTCCCCTCTGTGATGCTGTGCACAGCTCTCCGAGGCTGATTCCCAGAGCACAGCTCTCAGACTTCCTGGCACACGCATGCCTTCCCCTGCTCCCACTCTTCTCCCTCCTGTCCCCTCCCTGTCCCTTCGCCTGCTCACCTCCTACCTGTCCCAAGATATCCCTTAAGACTGTGACTTCTCTGGAAAGTCTCCCCTGAGGTTGCACCAGCAGGACTGTGCCACTTTGAACCACCTTGTCTGACTCCACTAGACCCTGAGCTGAGGCCGGTGGGAGGGACAGAGACCAAACCCTTGCTTCATTTCAGTTGACTTTTAGCCCTTACTCATAATTGCAATCCTTACAGTGACACTTATCCAGAAGAAAAACTAGAAAAAAAATAAGAAAGTGGATAATGAGGGTGGTTTGGTATAAAACCAGGAAAAGCACATTGTTTTAAAAAATTTATTTTTTCCCTCAGAAGGCCTAAGTCCTTGGAGGTTTTCACTCTGCCTGACCTGATGTGTGTGTGTGTATGTGTGAGTGTGTGTGAGTGTATGTGTGAGTGTGTGTGTGTGTGAGTGTGTGAGTGAGTGTGTGTGTGAGTGTGTGTGTGAGAGTGTGTGTGTGTGAGTGTGTGTGTGAGTGTGTGTGAGTGTGTGTGTGAGTGTGTGTGAGTGTGTGTGT